CGCTTGTAAAATTCCAATGTTATCTTACTAGGTAGTTTAGAGGTTGAAGAAATTCATGAATCATGGTATCTTTGATGTCTATGAGACCTGTTGAAGATTGAGATTCTCTTAGTGCCAGCCTGTTGTGATCCTATCATATTGGTGACTATTCAACAAGAATCAAATATTGTTTTCTTTTATGGCTATTTATTTCTGTAAACTGATGGTAGTTAAGTCAATGACGTGATGTTTTCCTTTTCAGTTTAAGGAGATTTCTCAGGCTTATGAGGTTTTGAGTGACCCGGAGAAGCGGGAGATTTATGATCAATATGGTGAAGAAGCTCTTAAGGAAGGAATGGGTGGTGGTGGGGGTGGTCATGACCCATTTGACATTTTCCAGTCATTCTTTGGAGGTGGAGGCGGTCCCTTTGGTGGTATGTCCTGTATTTGAGATTTGAAGTTACTCTTCTTTTTTACCCAATGGTGTGTGATCTGCTTGCAGTTGCATCATTATCTTAGCAAAACATTCTGTAATACGTTTTTCATTGAATACAGGGGGTAGTAGCAGCAGAGCCCGTAGGCAAAGAAGGGGCGAGGATGTTGTTCATTCTCTCAAAGTTTCTTTGGAAGACCTTTACAATGGGACATCAAAGAAGCTCTCTCTTTCTCGTAATGTTTTATGTACAAAGTGCAAGGGGTAAGTAAATATGGAGTTTCACCATATGTGTTCTTAAGCTAAATCTTTATGTGTGTCTGTTGAAGTGGTTTCCAAAGGTACCACTTCATGCAGTTGGTTTTTTTATAACTTAGAATTAAATAAGCTAAGATTAACTGTAAACATCATGAGTCTGTTTATTTTTGAAAGTAAATTTTTTTGAAGAAGAAGATATGTCTAATTAAATGGTATTAAAATTTTTATTGTTTGTTTTACGTGCTTAGTGAAAAAGTGATTTAATCTCATATATAACTTTTCAAATATATGTCATAAAATGTAAATCATATACTAGGTTTCATAAAAATGAGTCCTCTTTCTCAGCATTTTTTTGGGCTAAAGAAAGTTTAAATTGAAAAAAGTAGCTAGTTTTAATCATACCAATTTAGTTAAGGATCCAAGAATATAGCTACTTTTGATGATTTAAATTAGTTGTGTGTCGCCAAATTTTCAAAATTGTACCTTGAAAAATAAGGCTCTTTTAATGAGATGGAGGTGTAACTAGTGGGTAAGGTGGAATGAGGTTTGAAGTGAATAAGAGGCAGAGTAAAAGAAAATAGTAAACATCACTAATGGCACTGTGCTGAACAGTCAAGATCTTTATAAGTGTTTGCTCTAAAATATTATGGTTGATATAGTCCCTATGATGATTTAATTTTTTGTAGTCCATAGTGAAACCAATTACACATTCTAGCATGGAAAAAATTTCACACACATTATCGTCGCAATGCTAGCTTTGGATTATGTTATCTGTCTGAAATAAATTTTCATTTCATTTGTATTTGTATTTGTATTTTACTTTCTTGAAAAGAAATTTGAAAGTCCTATCATATGTAGCAATAATTGAATTCGAATCAAAATCAATGACCCTGTTTGGTATCAGCGTTAGAGATTAGCGTTAGCATTTTGAAAGAGCTATCTGATGTAGCTTTTAGCGTTAGCATTTTTCAAATTAATCTACACCGTTAATATTTTATCCAAAACGCTAACGCTAATTGAAAATGCTCTTCCCAAACAAGCCAATATTGAGAACAAAATAAGCAATTCGAGTTAATGTCATGAATAGTAGAAATGGATAAAGAAATGGGCCAAAGAGTGTCTGCATGTTTGTCATGTGTATTTAATTTGTCTTGACCTGTTTGTCTGCTTGTGGTTCTTCTAGGAAAGGATCTAAATCAGGTGCTTCATTGAAATGTTCTGGCTGTCAAGGGTCTGGAATGAAGATTTCTATTCGGCACCTTGGCCCATCTATGATTCAGCAGATGCAGCACAAATGCAACGATTGTAATGGTACTGGTGAGACTATTAACGACAAGGACAGGTGCCCTCAATGTAAGGGTGAGAAGGTTACACAAGAGAAGAAGGTGTTGGAAGTTTTTGTGGAGAAGGGAATGCAAAATGGTCAGAAGATTACTTTCCCTGGAGAGGCTGATGAAGCCGTAAGTGGATTTGAATCTTTGTTACCCTCTGTAATCTATTGCTATACGTTTTCACTGATGATTGAAGGGTTAACTTTGATTGCAGCCTGATACTCTCACTGGAGACATAGTGTTTGTCCTTCAACAAAAGGAGCACCCTAATTTCAAGCGCAAGGGAGATGACCTCTTTGTAGAGCACACGTTGTCCCTAACTGAGGCCCTCTGTGGCTTCCAATTTATCTTGACACACCTTGATAACAGGCAGCTCCTCATTAAGTCACAGCCTGGTGAAGTTGTTAAGCCAAGTAAGTACATGTATTATTTTGTTTTCAGCTTGCTATATTATTCAAGAACTGTTGCTCGTTCTGGTTTTGGGCATTGCTCGAATTTCTTAGGGGTGTCTTTGGAGTGGAAAAAAGCAAGGAACCATTAATGAACATGTCTTGATTATGTTGACCCTCAATTTGACAGATCAATTCAAGGCAATAAATGATGAGGGAATGCCGATGTACCAGAGACCATTCATAAAGGGGAAGCTCTACATTCATTTCACTGTTGATTTTCCCGAGTCGCTGTCCCCCGATCAGTGCAAGGCTCTCGAGGCGGTGCTTCCCCCAAAGCCTTCGAAGCAAATCAGCGACATGGAATTGGATGAATGTGAGGAGACCACTCTGCATGATGTTAACATTGAAGATGAGATGCGCCGGAAACAGCAGCAGGCAGCACAAGAGGCGTACGAGGAAGATGATGACATGTACGGCGGTGGCGGTCCTCAGAGGGTTCAGTGTGCCCAGCAGTGAGTTTTTCTATTGACAAAGTATTTGTTTTTTTATATAAAAGTTCATAAGGGCTCTTCCGTTTTAATTAATGGTGGATGCCTTGAAAGTTGTCTTATTTCATTTAATCAAGCTGGGAAAATTTTCCCCTCTGTAGTGTGAACTCATTGTTGTAAGTCACATATATTGGTCACGAATATTTTTTTTTCTTTCCCGCATTTGATTTGGTGGTTGAATGCCACAATGACAATATAACATGTTTGTTCATGCAAATTTATGTCTAGTATTCATTTTGTTTAAGGTACTATGACCATTTTTGGCTCCTGCAAATTTAAAAACAGACCATACTCCGCTGTATCCCCCTAATGTTTGTCCACTTTGGTTATAACACGATGTGAGGGGTAAAGTGTGAGTATGGCTTTTGCTTGTGATTCAATGATATCATCAGAAAGTGAAGGGTATAATAGTCCTTTTATTTCATTTTTGTTACCTTAAATGGAAAGTGGATAAATAATACGGAGTAAAGGATAACCTTAAAAAGTGTACATGATGAATACCAGGGGAATGGAGGGAGTACAATGCAATATACTACGTATGATGTTACCTTTGACCCCATTTCTTACACCACCTCACAAGTCAGATATACTATGGTCAGGGGTGAGCAAGTACCAAACCGATACCGAAATATCCCGAAAAAATCGAGAATACCGAACCAAAAAATACCGAACCGAAAAAGTACCGAGAAGAAATCGAACCGTACCGAACCGAATGGTCGCCGGTCGGTACGGTATTCGGGAACGGTACGAGGTGACGTCCCATACCGAAAATCCCGTACCGAACATATATACTACGGAGTAAAATATTATAAAAATAATACCTCGGAGTAATATTTTTATATTCCTTCACTAAATAAGAATTTTTAGAAAAAATTGGTTTAAGATCTATAATGTGTAAATTATACGGAGTACTTTTATTTGAGTTTTAATTTTTGTGTATGAACATAAGTATTCGCAAAGATTTGAAATACTCCTTTGTTGTCATTCATTTTTTTAGTTTGTGAAATATAAACTAAGTTTTGATACACATCTCTTGCATTTAAATATTCATTTTTTTTAATTCTTCAATTTTTTTTATTTTAATTCACTTTTAATTTTCAAAAAGAAAGGGGTATTGTTAAATTTTAACGTGTAAAGTAGGTATGTATATTTATCCCGATTTGTACCGATACCGAACCATACCGAACCGATATTTCGGGATCGGGATCAGTACGGAGCAAAATCCTATACCGAACCGAAATATTTGGTACGGTATCGGTACGAGCTAAATACCGTACCATATCGAAATATTTGGTACGGTATCGGTATCATTAAATACTTAATGAAATCGTGCAAACAAACAATCGTGTAATCAAATTGGGGACAGAGGGAGTAATAAGGCTGTCAAACTGCTACACTGTCAACTCCGTTGCAACACTACCACCCTATGCCGCACACTGCCACCACCATTGCTATCACATTGCCAAATCCACCGCTGCCACCACCGTTGCTATCATACTGCCAAATCCACCGCCACACTGTCATCCCCGCTATATTGCCAACTTCGTCGTCACACTGCCAACTCTCCTGCCACCACCACATTGCCAACTCTCATTCCACACGACCACAATGCCATCACCACTTCCACCACCCCAGCCACAAAACTATTGTCTCCGTCACACTGCCACCCCCACTACCACACCGTCATAACAATGATAACTCCGCCACCATACTCTTGTCAGCGTTGCTACAATGCCGACACTACAACCACCACCGCCACAATACCACCACACTATTAACTCTGCGGCTACACTCCCACTATCTCCACCCTCACACCGCTACCAACACACTACCATCAATTCAGTTAGAACACCACAAGGGAAGAATCCCAAACTAATCATCACCAAAGAGATTTGAGAATGATCAAATCAACTAGTAAAAAGATGAAAAGAATTACTGAAATGATCAACATAAATAATCAACGGCCAATCCAGTCAGCCATATATCTCTCATTTTTCATAAAATTAAAACATTTAAAACAACAAAATCACAAAAACACCCATAATCGACCCGAATAGAGTCTACTTTAGTCTATTTCTTTAAGTCAAATGTTAATAATTGAAACTGTGCGACGACGGCAATAACCGTACGAATCCATCAACCATTGGCCGGAAGTGGCACAGGAGACGGCGGCAAAGGCATTGCTGCTGGTTCGACGGAAACGTTAAGCTTCTGGCCCAAGGAACAATAATTCAACACACTACAAACATAGTAGAACACACCGGACTCCATGAGCGGAACGGCGACCGGAGCCTCGTCGGAGAAGGCAACAAACGGCTGATCCGCCGTGCAGTCGTCGTACTCTGTTCTCGACACTTGCATCACGTCGTAAAACCCGGGATCGAACTCGAACAAAAGGGTGTCTCCCGCACGGAATGTCCGGGAGGACGACCAGTCTCCGTACAAGTCGTCGTACGGCGGTATCGTCCATCCGGCTTCGTCTCCGACCTTGTGCTCCGCCCCGTGCGATGGTCGGTGCACCGCGGCGATCAGCAGCGCCGCCACGGCTGCAACCGCCACTAGTTTGCAGGTTTGCCTTCCCATGCAGTGTTTATTATTCCTTGTTTGGTTGGTGTGTATTGTAATGTTTTCGTAACTGCTTCTGTATATCCACCGCAAGAGACGGGGGATTATTATTTTTTCAAATAGTGGAGACGAGAATTTAGATAGAGCCATGCAGTGGGAAGTTGTAACGTTTGTGCAGTTGCGACTTGGGATATGATGGGGAAATTGCATATACTCCTTCACTCATACTACCTCCGTTCCGCTATATTTGTCCACTTTTTGACTTTTGGAATTGTTCATCTAAGCACTTTGACTCATCAAATTCTCTCAATGTGTAAACCTAAATATAGTCATGTGTGATCTTGTTTGATTTGTATTAACATATAGATTATTAATATATACTCTGTAATTTCTATAATTTTTTAATATACAAATTACAAGATAAAATGTATTAAAAAAATGCATTGAATGGTGTGTAAAAATAAAAGTAATACTCTGGGACGGAAGGAGTATAAAAGAGTTTCATTTTTTTCTAATAAAATTTGGTGTTCACACAAGTCTTTTAAAAAATACTCCGTATCACACATGAAAAAAGTGTGAGGAAAATAATGAGTATATAAGTTCTTGACATAAACTAAATAATTGATTAGATTTAATCTTTTTATGTGGTTTAGCCGTAGTGTCTTATAACCCAATTTAGTTATCACAATTTGGATAAAAACCGAATAACGAGAAAAGCCTTCCAAGCAAAAAAAACAAAAAAGTGAAAAAATATTTACTTTTATCTTACTCCCTCCGTTTGGAAAAACCCTTCCCATTTGATTTGGGGGCAAAAATAAGGAAGTGTTAAATTATAGTTGATTTCCAATTTTGCCCCTGATGTGATAGGTAAAAGTAAGATGTGATGAATATATTATTAGAGAAAAAGTATGATGTGATAGGTAGGGTATGAAAAAGTAAGGGTAAAAGTGGTTTTTTAATAGAAAGGGGAAATGTTTTGTTGAAAGTGGAAAAAATGAAAAAAGAAGTGTTTTTGAGAACGGAGAGAGTATATTTTTGACAACTTTTGTTATTTTAACTCTTTAATACTCCATGCCGTTCCTATTATAACGATTCCTATATTTTTTGAAACACTGTTTGATGGGCAAAATATAATTGTCATGTGAGACGGCACGATCTTCATTAATCAAAAGAAGATCGTGTTGATTGTGCCCAAAACGTATATAGGATGTGAGACCAAGATAAGCACCTTCCTATATATTGAGGTCATTCAAAGAGATGGCACGATCTTCATTAATCAAAAGAAGCATGCTACTGGAGCTCTGAAGAAATATAAGATGGAGTAGTCAAATTGAGTTAGAACTCCCATTGATTGAGACTTGCTTAAAACCCACGAAAGACGGCAAGGAATGAACTATTGTACCATCAAGCAAGTTATTGGAAGTTTATGCATGACATCTCACATAGTAAGCGAGTACATGGTGTCACCTTGACAAAAACATTTGCAAGTAGTGAAAAGGATTATGTGCAACATTCAAGGTACTCAAGATCTCAGCCCTATTTGGTACACGGAATATAAATTATGGAATTGAAATTGAGGACTTCAATTCCAATTCTGATGTTTGGTAGCACAAAAATTATTTAGATTTGGAATTGATAGTGCAAAAAATGAATTAAAATTGGTGAATTCAATTCTATGGAATTGAATCCCATTAAATTCTAATTCCAATTCAATTCCAATTCCATCAATTCCGTGTACCGAACGGGCCCTTAGTGTATTTTACTCTTCATACAAAGAGTGTGAAATTGTTGGATACTCTGATAGTGATTGGGGTGGGGATTTGGATGAAATGAAGAGCACAAGTGGTCATTGTTTTCTGCTTAGTGGTACTGTTAACTCTTGGTCGTCATCAAAGAAATACTCCCTACGTCTCATATCTTTCTTCTTGTTGCGCAAAATGAAAAAAAACTTTTAGTTTTTTCAATCTATTTTATTCAAATATTTGTATAAAAATAAAAAAATAAAACTTACTTAATTAAAAAAACTACATCAAAAGTCCACAAAACAAGTGGTGATAAGAATATTTTATTTTATCATATATGCCATGAAAAAAATACAAATATATATATTAATTCCCATGAAGTTAGAATAGTGTTATGAGAAGAAAGATATGAGACGGAGGGGATAGTTTCTTGTAGCATTATCCACGTGTGAAGCAAAGTATGTAACAACGGTATCGTGTGTGTGTCAGCAATTTGGCTTAAAATTATTATGAGTCAAATTGATTCTGAAATTGCACGGTCAATCACAATTAAAGTTGATAATATTTTTGCTATTAATTTGGGTAAGAATCCAATTTTTCATGCAAGAAACAAGCATGCAGATATTCAATATCACTTCTTGAGAAATCAAACTTGGAAGAATACAATCAAACTGAAATATTACAGGTCTGAAGATCAAATTCCGGTCATCCTCATCAAGTTGAGGAACATGGTTCGAGTGAAGACCCCCTGATCAGAATTAAGGGGGCATGTTAAGGCTGGCAAAACAATGTGTGTAAAAGGGGTTAATATCTAATCCGATTCTTGACAGTTCTGTTGAAGACAATTATGCTAAACATAGGGACTTTGAATTTACCAAGACAACTTTGCTATCTGGTGATCATCCAAGTGGTTTTGAAGGATTCTCGGTGATGAGGCTCATCCTTTTAGAATTAGGAGGATGTTGAATAATTTAGTTATTTTAATTAATTTTGAGGATTTGAGTCAGTCTTTAGTCTTTAACAATCTATTAATTATTATAGGTATATATGTTAGAGTTAATTAGGTCTTGTTCTTTTGGTTGGAAAAATTAATTTCTAACTTCTTCCAACTCCTTTCAACTCCTTCCACTTCCCTACAACAATGACTTAAAAATGTGATTATATATAATTAATATAAAATAATATTATATATCCAAATTTATAACATATTGTTAGCGGATATTTGTACATGTTGGGTACTTTTGTTTTCTGGAAGGCCATGAAGCAAATCACTTTTACTCGTTCTTCTGTCGAGGCCGAATACAGGGCCATGGCAAACGCTTGTGTGGAAATTCGATGGATGCTTGATATTCTGAAAGCTCTTGATGTGCGGATTTTGTATCCTTTGAGACTATATTGTGATAATCAATCGGCCCTTTACATTGCAGCAAATCCAGTCTTTCATGAACGTATGAAGTATATTAATACGGAGTATCACCAAAAACATGAAAATTTGATGTTTAGAAAGTAAATTAAAGTGGAAAAAAACCTGTACGACGTAGGTTGTATGAAATTTATGCATGGTATACGTATGATATTCTCATGGATGCTGTAGTGTACAATAAATGTAGACGTTTCGGCAACCTCTCGTGGGCTGGGTCATGCCAAATCTAAAGTTGTGATTTGCTGGGCCCGTTCACTTCTCCCCTTCCCTATTTAAATGAAACTGGAAAGAAAAATTATTGTGTGTAAACAAGGATACCCTATACCTCCAATAAGGCTCTTGGCTTTTCCTTTTTTTTTTTTTTTTTTTTTTTTTTTTTTTTTTTTTTTTTTACAAACTAAAAATTACTCATATGGACACGTATGGAGTATGAACATTTTTCCAATGTAAGTTCAATTTCAGATTGTCTTCTTTACCTAAATTTCATACTAATTTGATGATAATGATAATAGAAATATTAATAATGATAATAATAATACTCCGTAAAATAATATAATAATAATTTACACCAGCATGCTTTGTGAATCAAGAAAAGCAGGTTAAATAATACCCACAAGTGAGGAAAATATGTACACTATCTCACAAAAGAGCCTACTATCCACTCTCTTAATCATATATGCAAAGACCAAAAAATTAAAAATAAAAAAATAAATATAAAATAAAATTATAAGGACATCAGGTCAGCATTGTACTTAAAGTGCACTCTCATCTGACCTCAAACAATAAAATAAAAATAAAACAAATTAAACTATGATAATGAACTAACTAGTAATTGCAGCTTATTTTCCCGGCCTCCCCATTGATTAATTAATTAATTAATATGTGCTTAAATTAAAGAGAGACTATCATCAGCTGGCTAATTGGTTATATCCCCTGTCTCAGGCAGGCACCACTTGCTGGGTATAATGGAACTCGATCTGAAGCCGTTGATGAAGAAGGGACGACATCATAGGCCCCATCACGTGACCCTCCTCCTCCTCCTTCTTCTTCCTCCTCTTCTTCTTCTCCTTCTCCTTCTTCTTCGTCTTCATCTTCTTCTTCACTTCCACTTGCACTTCCCTCACCGGAATCCCTGCCAGAAAACTCTTTATGTACTCCTTGCACGCCTCTTTCCCTCTCCACACCCTCTCTTCTTCTTCTCCTTCTTCTTTATCCCCTCCACGCGACACGATACTGGTGTCCTTGTCAAACTTGAGGATAAACGCCCGGTCGCACCCCTCGTAAAGCCTCTCCCCCAACGTGTCCACAACGTAGTACGCGTTCCTCTCAACTTTGAGCACGAAGAAATGGTCGTTCCAACTCACAATGTACACACCCTCGCCGCTCCCTTTGGAAATCTCGTCCCAAATGTTGTCGAAAGACATTGCCCCTCTCAGGAATTCGTCAAACCCACCTTCTTCGTCTTCACCTTCTTCTAGAAGGAAGAACCCGACGAATGACTTGTGCGGGACCACCGCGAGGGGTTGGGTGATGTCAGCGTGCAGGACCGTGTCGAGATCGAAGTGCTTGTCCGGGAAGCGCTCCCGGTAGGTCTCGTCCTCGCACATGCTCCTCCACTCCATGGAGCCTTCATGGATCAGAGTGTCCAGTTGGGACTTGACGGGCATCTGGTCCGGGTTTGAGTGGAACCAATTGGCGATCGCGACAACCAGGGAGGCGCACGCGCCTTCCCCTGCTGCCCTCTCGCTGCGTTGGTCGATTGAGGCAAAGAACGTCTGGGTCCTGAGCTTCATTTCCCCGTCGCGGCTTATTACCTCTTTGACCTCCCAGCTGCCCACCTCAAAGCTGTCCTCTCCGAATTCGGACACTGAAGAACGACTTCTGGTTGTACTGTCCTCAGACCTCCACTGCACCAAGAAGAACAATACAAATGTGTGTTAATTGTTAAGTGAGGAGTCATTAGTCTTTCTTCAATGAAAGGGCATGGTGGATATGATGCATACCCCATAAGAGGATTCATCCGAAGAGCTAAGCTGGCGACGATCAAAGTCGATGTCATCACCCCCTTCCTCTCCATAGTGTTTCTTCAATAACGGTTCGCCTTTCCTTTTAGGGGAAGATCTGAAGCTGAATTTCCTCTTCCCCCAAGGAAGAAGAATCCCGCGTTTGGGTCTCTGCTGGATAGACTTGTTGTCCAGCATGGGACCGTTTGTGTCCTCAACGTAAACTGGGCACCCGGCATCTGGTTTCGGATGGCTGTAGTAAACCCGGTCGTCCTCACTTTCGCGAACGCAATGAGATTTTGCGCAACCCAAAATCTCATAATTGCCCTCGCCGTCCTTTCCTTCCTCCATCCCCCCTTCTCCTTCTGAGTCTGCGTCTTCTACGTAGTTGCATTCGGTATCCTCACTACTCTGGATTGAACACTTACTACCCTCGTCTTCACTCTTACTGCCTCTTCGAGGGGAAAATGCCTTAAAGATTCCAACTTTTCCCACGCCTACCCTCGAAGGAGAATCTTCGTTTCGCAGCTCAGCAAGGCTAAGGGACAACTGCAGTGCGCGAAAAGATTACATACTATATTGAAGAATGAAGAACATGAATAAAAAAACAATACAGAAGGATGATGTAGGGTGTTCAATGTGCTTACACAAAGTGAGAGTAAGGGAGTGTTTGGACTGTGGGAATGGGAGATTGCAAGTGGAATGCTGATCTGAACATCTTTTTCTTTAGCTGCTATAACATAGTCTGAAAGATTTAACCATCCGGTGGCGAGGGTAGACGCCTTCTTCGTATTTCCCTTGCTCAAAACCACCTATTAAGATATTGCAAATGTGTAAGCATAAAAGTTTTCTTTCCCCTTTCTGAGAACTTCAAGAAAACAATGAATTAACAGAACAGAACAAGAACAGTGACCAGAGGATTGATTGATTATTCCCCTTGGTTAAAATAAGTGGAATCCCAAACTGGGAATTTTGTTTAGGGATAAGTTCTATATTCTAATGAGATTTTTTACTGGATTTGTTGGTATAAGAAGTATATGCATTGGTGGAAGGAAGGGATGGACTAATCAACAGTGGCCAAAAATCACAGAGATTTGATTTGACGATGGAATATTCCATTAAAAGGATTTTTCTGTATTATTATGCGCCATGATTGAGAGATCCCAAAGTCAATGGATCTAATGCAATAGGCATCAGATCTTCAATACTGCTGACTACAAACTCCACTCACTGGTGGGTCCAACTCCTTAAACAATCCCTTTTGCCCTAAAAGAATTTTCTTTTTCTTTTTTTATTTAGAATTTTAGGGAAAGAAAGAAACAAAGGATAAACTTTTTTCTCAACCTAAACTTTTACCATAAAATTTCACTTTTTCTTAAACTTCGTGAAAAAAAAAGAAAAGTAATGGAAGTATATAATCAATCTCTATATTTATAAGCTAGTCAAAATTATTTATAAGTTGTTTTTAAATTATACGTCAACAGATGGTGTGTTTCTACTTATAAACTGTTTATAAGTCAGAAAAAATAAATAGGTCTTACTTACTAATTTTTTAGCCAATTTTTTTGTTTTCCCGTTTCGACCAGATTATTTAACAACTATCTCTCACCTATAATGAATTTTCCCAAATGACTTACATATCATTTAAGTCATTTTTTCTATACGGAAGAACTTTTAACTTATAAGCAGCTAATAAATTAAAAATTTTTACCTAATAAATAATAAGTTAATGAGCACCAGCACAGAAAAACATTGAGATAGATAACTCTCTTGAGGTAAAGGTGATAAGCAAACTTACCCTTTAAAAAAACTAAAAGAATGTTTCTGGGAGACTCTGTGGTCCAACACTTTCATAGTGTAAGAAACAAGTTTGACTAACAACAGATCATAGGCATAAATCTAATCCCTATTTCCAAATGCTAATCACATTAACACAAAACTTATAAACTCCCATTACTGGTTGAATTGGTTCCTTTCTAATTCATGGAGTACACAAGAAGATAATGCAAAATCTGGAAGAAGAAGAAGAAGAATGAAAAACTCACATTGAAGAGAGAAAAAGAGACATCCCAAGGGAGAAAGTTGTCATCTTTGGCAGGGGAGAAGTTGCATTCGCACATAAACTGCTCATCCCACACAACAGCCCCAGAGCCATTGACGAAAATGCCCTCCTTTGTGAAATCCCTCCTCACGCCCCCCCTTCTCAGCCTCTTCATCATCTTCCCCTTCTCCGCCGCCGCCCCCTTCCACCTGATCTCAACCCCCAGACTCCCAAAATCCTGATCAAATCCTTGAGAAGACGAATCAGCACCAAAAAGACCATTGATGCAGAGAACCCCAATCTTGGCCTCCAATTTCTTGGAAGAAGGCAAAGGAGGCGGCCATGGGCTCCTCCACTTCATCATCTTCACCACCATCTTGCTGTAATTTCCAGAAATTCAGGAAGAACCAGTCAAGAAATCAGATTGGGAATTATGGTTGGGTTTTGAAAACCCAGAAAGAATGGAGTTCTAATAAGAGCCAACAACGTTGTCTTTCAACTATGGGTATTTATACACTGTTGTGGGTGGGATTTATCTGTCATAGATAGAATAGGATGTTTGGGATTGCATGTATGTATTCAGTATTCCGGACCAAATACTTTTAATGATCTTTCTATTTTATAGGGTTTATTTAATGATGATCATTAGCGCAGAGAATCGGAATCATTGATTTTTGCTATATCCGTCCAAAAAAAGTAATTACTCCCTCCGTTTGTGTTTATCTGGTCCTTCTAAATTTTGTGATTTATCAAAAATTAAAGAAAAAAATTCACACTCGTACACCTAAAAATTGATGATTTTAGGTTAATATTTTCAAATTTAAGAATTGATATCAATGCTACCAAAAACCACACATTTTTATATCATTATTTGGTCTTGTGGACTCAACTATATACATAATGGAATATTTTAAATGATGACTAGATAATTTGTAAGTATAAATTGACAAGTAATAAAAAATTAAAGATAACACTTGCGCTAAAAAAGACTTCTTGAAATGGATTATAATTAGTCGTTCTAAAAAATACAATACTGGAATAAATTATAACTAACTGGTCTAAAAAAGACAATACTTGAAATGGATTATAACTAGCTGATCTAGCCCCCCCCCCATTTTAAAAAGAAATAACTTAAATTTAATCAGACAAAAGACATAGAATGTGTTTGTATTTTAATCAAGTAAATTATGAATTGTGTTTTAGAAAAAAGTTAGAAAATTTTGAAGTTAATATTTTACAGTCAAATTTATATTTGTTTGAAGTGTTCCAGAGAGAAAAGTAAAACTGAACAGGTGGACAATTATTTAGAAAATATAATATACAAATGATTTATAGAAATTACCTTTCAAAAAAAGGTATATCTTATCAAATTTTTATCTTCTTATCATTATGTTTTTTTCAAACTAGTCCAATTACTTGAGTCTTACTTTCAATTTTTTTATACTTTTAAAAAGGAGGTCACAAGTTCAATCCTCTTGAAGAAAGTAATTATATGTGCCTAATACGCTGAAATAAATGAACAAATATTATATTGAATAGAGTTATTAGTGCTCAAATTGTTGCTTAGTTCCATTCATAAGACGTGCTGTTGGATTTCACTTATCAAGACATATTGAGTAACTATAAATGTGAGTATAAAGTATTAACTTCAAAGTTTTCTATTTTCTTGCCGGAAACACTATTCATATTTTATCTGATTAAAATATAAATACTTTATTTTTTCAGTTTTATCGCATGATAATTTTTAGTTCCAATTTGGTAGGAGAGGAGAATGGGTTCCAGTTATAATGCATTTATTGTATTTTGTTTTAATTTTTGAATTAATTGGAAACTCATACTTATTAATTGTTTAGTCCGCATATAAAATGTCATGTATTTTTTTTTTTGAAAAAGATAAAATGTCATGTATGATGAGGCATGAGTGCAGAGTAACGATGTAAAAGTATATAATTTCTGAGAGTGTCATATGTTAAATTTTAGAGTATTAATATAAACAAGTTTATTTCTGCGAGTATTAAAGTAAAATTTTCTAAAATTAAATAAATATGAATATGCATTATATCTACATTTATTTAATTTTAATGTATGTTAAAAAGTGTAGTAATCACTTCAATCTCTCCATTTGATGTATAAAGAAAGCAGAGTTAATTTAATTTTTAAATAGTATCCCTTTCTCTCTAAACAATTGTCTTTTTTCTAACGACGTGAAAATTAACATCTCTTTTAAATTGATTAAGCTTACAAACTGGTAAAGAAAAATAAAAAATAAAAAATATATATTTAAAAACTACATAAAAACTTTACAAAATTAGTGATGGCGAGAATATTTTATTTTATCAAATGAAGTATGAAAAAGTATATGCAAAAAAATTATCGAAAGTCTGAAATAGTCAGTAGGCCAATTGTTTGGAGACGGAAGAAGTATACTTTTATCCTCTCGTCTCTTGATACCTCTAGTTTATTTATGTTTTCATTAATTATTTGATAAAATAAAATAATCATGATATATCTTATTTTGTAGAATTTTTGAAGGGGTACAAAATTTTTATTTTGAAATTGAGGTAGTATTTAATATACGCCCTATCATAAAAAGAATTAGTATACTCCATATTCTCTTTTCCTTCGAAAAATTTCCCATCTTATTATATATTTCATCCCCCAAAATAAGTTTCTCATTTTTTGCTCGTCACTTTCCTCTTTAGAAAAGATGATTTGATTCAAAATGTAATCTAAACAAATTCTTATTTTCAACATTATTTTAAATCTCTCATAAGGCAAAATGAGTATTTAAAAAAAGTAGACGAATGGTGTATGCTCTTGCATCCCACAATTGATAGACTCTTCTTATTCATTTGGTTTCCCTTTAACAAAAAACCACTCATTTCATGGCCTATAAACCGGTCAATGCCACGCAAAAAAGTTGCCCCATTAATGGGATTCATCAGTGTGCACCACCAAGACAAAAGTGACTCAGATTTTACTTGTTCTCCATATATGTGTATGTGCTGCTGCTAATTTTAAGATTCTATAAAACCAGGACCAATTACTATATTCTATATATATATATATATTTTATATTCTATTATATATTATTTCATTATTCTTTATTAGATTATATATTCCATGGATATAATATTTCACTTTATTTACCAATGCACTTTGTGGGGTTGACATCACACACACTATGAAAGCCATTCATTAAATTCCCGTGAGGGAAAAGCAATACTCAATTCTTAAGCAATGGCACACATAGATGGACGTTATATGGCCCCATTTTCTTAGCTGTGTCTCAATTAGCTTCATAGTTGATGTCTATACATTTTTTCACCATTGACTTGTGTGATAATAATTATAATAATAAGTGAGGAAGAACTAGATCCGTTTATGAGCTTTAATTTGGCTATTCTTTTAACCTAAGTACTACTATATGTTATGTTGAATGGGGGTCTAAGGTAGTCGTGGTTGGGCTGTGGTGGGGTGCGGTGAGAGTTTAGAGTGATGACTAAGATGAGTAAGAATCGTCAATTCTTTATTTAGAGCACCGAAATAACTCTAAATAAGCAAGTGTAATCTGTTGACACTGGATGCCAAGAGATGATGTTAAAAACATGTTGTGTCAATATATAAAATAAGCGGAACTTTTGAACCAATAAGTTTGAAAAGGAAAAAAAATTTCTTTTCATTTGGGAAAAAAAATTGTTTTTTACTCTATTTAATACTCCCTCCATCCCTTAAACACTTTCTCCTTTTCTTTTTCTTTGTCTTACAAACTTCTTTCTTTTTCAATTAAAAACCGACTTTTATCCCTACTAATTCTTACCATACCTATCACTTCATATCTATTTACTAATAATATATCCATCACATCATACTTTTACTCATCACATCAAAAGTATTTTTCAAAAGTCAACACAAAAATATTCCTACCTTAAATTCTCAAAAAGTCAATGAAAGAAGAACCAAAAAAAGTTCTCTTGCAAATTTTGAAACTTAAAAATTACAATATGATGATTCTCAATAAGGCTCTCTTATTTTGGATTATAAAAATAAAATTAGATATTGGAAGAAATTGAAAAAATAGAAAAGTCTAAAAAGAATTTAAAAAAACTAGAAGGAATTGAAAAAAGTTAAAAAAAAAATTGAAAGTGAACTTTTCTACCCCAAATAAACAACAGAACCTAAATGGTCTACATTTGAAAAATAATTATTTATAAATTGAACGGAAAAAAAAATCTAATTTGACACTGAAAAAAATACCCCGTAATTAATAAATTCACTTGCAAATTTTGAAACTTCCAATGATTCCCGATTAAATTGTCTACATTTGAAAAACAGGAACAATAATTACCAATAAAACCAAAGCCTAATTTGTCAACTACGAGACTAGAAATGCATAATTTTTCTTAAATCACAATCAAAACAAACAATTCAAACTAAATCTAAAATAATAAATGAATAATTAAATCGAGGCTGTTGGGGGCATTCATGAAACCGATACTTTCAGCAAGTGATCATTCATCACTCCATAAAAAGACCAATTTCATGCTTTTCTTTTAAACGTCTTAATAAGTTTCAAGTAAAATCATCATACTAAACTTTTTTTTTAATTACACTAACTCAAAAGTCAAAACTAATTGAAAATTAAGAATGGCAGTCAATGATTCAGGACTAGTGTGAAACAATAATGCATTTTTCAGGGTTGTATGGATATTATATGCTAAAAAAATATGGACCTTCTCATTTCTCACATAAACAATAATTTATTATACAAATGTGCATTTATTTTTATTTTTTAAAATTTATTAATTTACTTATGTGAGAGTATAAGAGGGGCAATTAGATGGATGTTACAAGAGGTAATGCCACCTTCATTCCGATTTCCGTCACATACTCACATCTCTATGTCATCCAGGTCGGGTAAAGGAAACCGAAGTATAGCAGCAATCCCGCTCAGCTGTGTCAATTCTGCATTTCAAAATATGGAGTAATTTTTTTTCTCAACATTAATAAAGCATATAATCCTAAGTTGCAGCATAAGTTTTAAAATATAGAAACTGAAAAATGCAGTCGTTAACTCCTTTTGATACTCCCAGGGGTGTGTTTGGAAACTCTTCATCCAAACAGACCCTTATTATCAAGTTTAGCTTTTTGGTTCATACATATTATAACAGTAACATATACTAGCATATAGAGTATATAATACACTTACGTTCGCCGGAGACATGCATAGAGGAAAAGATGTGTGCAGTGCCGCCTGAATTCTTGACTCCATTGACCAAATTGGCATATTTTTTTCTTGTTGCTATATCCGAGTTCCTGATAAATAATACGTCATATCATACCCTTCCTCGGTTGTAAGTAAAAACATGTAATGAAAAAGGAAGAGTAGATGATACGTTGGTATCGCCGGAGAGGAATATTGGCTTCCTCTTGCCACTCAAAAGAGAGAAGAGATAGAGGGGAAAGAGAGGAGAGGAAGAGAGGGAGAGAGAGAGAGCCGCCGGGGAGGGAAGAAGAAGTAGGGTTGGGTTTGGTGTAGAGAGAGAAAGTATGGGGAGAAGATTAGGGTTTATTCTTATGATCCTTCATTACGTACAAGCATCCCTTTAAATAGAGAATCCCCAACCTAATTACTATGTTTTCTATCCTGTCGGTCCAAAGAAAAGCATCGAAGAAAAGCATCGAGGTAAAGAACCGAAAAGAAACCCTCGAAGGAGCTTATAATTCGCTCACCTACGAAAATCTAATTAACAATAGCAGCAAATAATAATAATAATAATAATAATAGTAATAATAATAATAATAATAATAATAATCTTAAGCTGTATAATCCTTCTGCCATGCTGGGGTTCTCCTCTGCCGTGAGCTACGTCGTACCCCTGCGCATGTCGGGTCCTCATCCTGTGCATGCGTATCTCTTCCGGTACCATCATCCCGTGCATTCTCCTCGGACATAACACTCTTCCCCGCTTCAAAATGCACCTTGTCCTCAAGGTGGAGATTAGGAAATGCTTCCAGCAGAGGGCCTAAGGGTTCCCAGGTGGCGTCATCCAAACTTCCATCTGACCATTCGACCAATCCTTGCTCCTCTCGTGAGCCATTACGAAGAACTACCCGGCGTGCATGCAGCCGTATTGGCACCGAGACAGGTTCCCCACGGACAAACTCTGCGGGCAATGGCAAATGAGCCTCCTGGACATCTCCCCGAAAGGGTTTTAGTAATGAAACGTGGAAAACGGGGTGTATGCGTGCTCCCTCTGGTAACCGTAAGCGGTAAGCCACCGGCCCAACCTTAGAAATAACTTCAAAAGGGCCGTAGTACCTGCGAGCTAACTTTTGAGATTGTCGGCGAGCGACGGAGTGTTGTCTATACGGCTGGAGTTTCAATAAGACCATATCGCCCACCGAGAATGAAACCTCACGTCGGTGTTGGTTGGCACTGGTACGCATCTGCTCTTGTACCCGTGTCAAATTGTGGCGCAACCGGTTCAAAGTCTCCGTACGTTCTATAAGCAGTTTATCTACCGCCAGCAGTGTGCAGTCCCCAGGGGAGTACGGCAGCAAGGTTGGTGGTTCTCGTCCGTATAACGCCTGAAACGGGGACATGCCCAGACCGCTGTGGTGGCTAGTATTAAGGGCATATTCTGCCCATGGCAGCAAGATTGTCCAGCGGTGCGGCGTATCCTGTGTGAAAGCCCGAAGATACTGTTCTATGCCGCGATTCATCACCTCCGTTTGCCCGTCTGTCTGGGGGTGAAAAGCGGTGCTATGCCGCAAAGTTGTTCCGCTCAATTTAAGCAAGTGCCTCCAAAATTTACTGACGAATACCCGGTCCCTGTCAGATACAATCGATTTGGGAAATCATGAAGCTTAACCACAATATCCACAAAGAGAAACGCCACGCGATGTGCATCAAAGTCCGTTGGAAGGGCCCCCAAATGAAGGAATTTCGATAAACGATCCACCACAACAAAAATGACCGTGAACCCGCGAGATATAGGAAGACCCGTGATAAAATCCATAGAGAGGTCATCCCAAACCTGCGTGGGAATCGGCAGTGGCTGCAAAAGTCCCCCCGGTGGCAACGTTGAGTATTTGGTGGTTTGGCATATAAGACAACGCGCCACATGCTTCGTGACGTCGGCGCGCATAGATGGCCAGTAGAACACCATTGCCAAGCGGTGGAATGTCCGCGTAACCCCAGAGTGTCCCGCCATAGGGGTATCATGGTACTCCCGAATGAGCAAGAAACGGAGATCAGAGGATGCCCCAATGTAGATACGGCGCCGGAAGTATAGAATGCCGTCGGCCATAGAATAATCAGTGGACAGGGAGTTGTTGTTGAACGCCGTATGCAATCTAATTAGATCGGGTTGGGTTGTGTTCTCCTCCTTGATGCGTTGTAAAAGGTCCGGCACTGGTTGTGACATCAAGACCAGGGAATAGGCGGCCAGGTGGGGATCATCTTTCCTGGATAAGGCATCTGCAACCCGGTTGGATGCCCCCGATTTGTATTCAATATGAAAGCGGAACCCCATTAGCTTCCGGACATAGAACTGTTGATCGGGCGTTTGAATGACTTGCTGCCAGAGTTCCTTAAGACTCCGCTGATCTGTACGCACGAGGAAGGTTCGACCGAGCAGATACTGGCGCCATTTTTGGATGGCTTCGACAATCGCGTACAACTCCCGGTGGTAGGCCGATGTGGCAGCCCTACGTTGGCCCAATTTTTTACTGAAAAAAGCAATTGGTTTCTCCTGTTGCAATAAGACTGCCCCGATTCCCGTAGCACTAGCATCCGTTTCAACCACAAATAACATGGAGAAGTCCGGCAGTTGGAGTACCGGCGCTGAAACCATGGCAGTTTTGAGGGCTGTGAACGCGGCAGTGGCCTGGGCACTCCAAACAAAAGCTTCTTTTTTTAGAAGATCAGTCAATGGTGCTGCAATCAGAGAGTAATGCCTAATAAAGCGTCTGTAGTAACCAGTGAGCCCGAGAAAACCCCGTAATTGTTTGACAGTTTTCGGGAGTGGCCACGAAACCATCGCCTCAATCTTCGTCGGGTCGGCCACCAAAGAACCCCGAGTAATGACATGCCCTAGGTATTCGATGGACTCCTGACCAAACGAGCACTTGGAATATTTAACATAAAACTCATGGCGCTCCAACAGGGCCAACACAAGCTCCAAATGTTCAGCATGCATTTCCACCGTCGGACTATAAATAAGTATGTCGTCAAAGAATACTATCACGAACCGACGTAAATAAGAGCCAAATAAACGATTCATGCAGGCCTGAAATGTCGAAGGAGCATTGGTTAGACCGAACGGCATGACTAAAAACTCATAGTGACCGTCATGCGTGCAGAACGCCGTCTTATATACGTCACGATCATGCATTCGTATCTGATGGTACCCCGCTCGCAGATCAAGTTTGGTAAAATACCGGGCTCGGCCAAGCTCATCAAACAACTCATCCGCCGTGGGGATAGGAAAATGATCGGGAATAGTGACGGCGTTGAGGGCCCTGTAATCGACGCAAAATCGGTACGAGCCATCTTTTTTTTTAACCAACAGAACAGGGGACGAGAAGGGACTGCGACTTGGCCGAATCAGGCCTTGGCTCAACATTTCACCCACCAAGCGTTCGATCTCGTCTTTCTGAAAATGCGGATAACGATAAGGGCGAACATTAACAGGTGGGGTGCCGGCCTGTAGAAATATTCGGTGATCCACGCTCCGACGCGGTGGTAAGGCAGTTGGCGTGGCAAAGACTCCGGCGTGGGTTGTCAAGACCTGCTGAAACTGGGGCAGTAAGGGGGGTGATGCACCAGATTCCTTCGGTTCTGCCTCCAAACTGAAATAACAAAGTTCCAAGCATCCTTGTAGGTGGTGATGGTGCGTGATGGCCTGTAAAGTGTGCATAGAAATAGGTTTCGGCGAATGTTGGATCCCTTGGAGTTGAATCGAGGTGCCCTTCCAGTGAAACTCCATTGTCAATTTGGAATAATCGTGGGCAACCTTCCCCAGGAGTTGTAACCATTGTACGCCTAAAACGACGTCCGGTCCATGAATCTGTAGCAGAAAAAGGTCGACCGGAAATAGGTGGCCTTGCAATCCCAAGGTAACATTGAGGCATTGAGTATCACAGAGGAGGTAATCGCCATTGCCGACGTAGACACGGAAGGGGGGAACTGGGGTAACCGACAGCTGCGCTTTCGAAACAATACCCGGATGAATAAAATTATGGGTACTTCCCCCATCGATAAGAACCTGAATTTCGCGCTGGCCAATGGTGCCCACAAGCCGTAGTGCCCGTGGCGTTGCCGTTGAGTAGCTCTGCAAACTGGAAATGTCAGCGGTAACAAAGGGTTCCTCATCGGCCTCAGTGGCCGGACTGTCTAGTGCATCGTCATCATCACCGATAAGCAACAGCACGCGCCCACAACGATGACCTTTCGTCCAACGCTGATCACAGTTGTAGCAAAGTCCTTTTGCATCTTTCTCGAGCTTCTCTGCACGGGTCAGGCGACGTATCGGAGTGGCCAAAGGAGGTTTGTCCTCACTCACCGTCACTGGAGAAGTAGGGCCTGGCCTAGTGTTTCCCACGCGGGAAGGGTTGGAGACGGACCAGGATCCGGGGCGTGGGGGAACCACTTGGAGGAGGGCGTTATGCTTGGCTTCCAATTCCCTGGCCAAGGCAAACGAGTCCGCTAGGGTTTCTGGGGCTAGGATGGCAATCTCGTGCTGAAGGTGTGATTTAAGACCAGAATGAAACAACGAGACCAGGTTAGCCTCAGATGCGCCCGTCACATGCTGTAAAATTTTCTCAAAGTCCGTTTGATAATCCAGCACGGAGCCACGTTGGCGAAGCTTCGCTAACTGCCCAAAATAATCAACATAATGCAAGGGATCAAAACGGAGCTTGAATTGTTCCACGAAATCCAGCCACCCCGTGATCAACTTTCCATTCATGCGCCAACGAAACCAATCCGCAGCCGGTCCTTCCAACATCAACGTAACACAACGGAGACGTTCCGCAACCGGCGTCTCGTAAAAGGCAAAGTATTCTTGTACCTTGTACAACCAACGAAGGGGGTCCGAGCCGTCTGTTTTAGGAGCCTCAAGCTTTGGTTTGGGCAGGTGCGATGGAGTCATTGAAGAAGAGTCACCCGCACCTCCTGGAGAACGAGCGGTCGGAGTAGGTAACAACGGCGGCCTGTTAGCCAACACCAATGCTTCAAGCCGAGCAAACTTGGCCTCTAAATCATGCTGCATCTGATGCATAGTATGCTGAAGGGTGTCGATGCGTTCGTCCTTGTGGCCGGGCTGAGATGAAGGAATATCATCCGACATCGGAGTGAAGTCAACGAGAGCACCAAATGATACGTTGGTATCGCCGGAGAGGAATATTGGCTTCCTCTTGCCGCTCAAAAGAGAGAAGAGATAGAGGGGAAAGAGAGGAGAGGAAGAGAGGGAGAGAGAGAGAGCCGCCGGGGAGGGAAGAAGTAGGGTTGGGTTTGGTGTAGAGAGAGAAAGTATGGGGAGAAGATTAGGGTTTATTCTTATGATCCTTCATTACGTACAAGCATCCCTTTAAATAGAGAATCCCCAACCTAATTACTATGTTTTCTATCCTGTCGGTTCAAAGAAAAGCATCGAGGTAAAGAACCGAAAAGAAACCCTCGAAGGAGCTTATAATTCGCTCACCTACGAAAATCTAATTAACAATAGCAGCAAATAATAATAATAATAATATTAGTAATAATAATAATAATAATAATAATAATCTTAAGCTGTATAATCCTTCTGCCATGCTGGGGTTCTCCTCTGCCGTGAGCTACGTCGTACCCCTGCGCATGTCGGGTCCTCATCCTGTGCATGCGTATCTCTTCCGGTACCATCATCCCGTGCATTCTCCTCGGACATAACAGTAGGCATGGAAAAGTAACATCTCAAAGATGCAAGCAGAAAGAGTTAGGACCTATATGGTGAGCGAATGAAATATGAGTTCTGATATCTCCGAATATTAGAACTCTTTTGTGGGCATTTAGTGACTCCTAAACAGGGTTCGGATTTAAAATATCACAGCCCTCTAAAATGAGGACGTTTTGATATCATTCCCAATCTTGGGAGATATCAGTCTCATAGTTTTGATATCTTTCTCAAGCGCCAGCCAACGTCACCAACAACTACACCTGGCGACCTGCCGCCTTCGGCCATCATCGTCAACCACTCTTTCCTGTCACTAACAACCATGGAGGTGTTTCTGTATCAAATTTCAGATCTTTCCGAACACTTTTTAGATTTCAAAACAGAGATTCCATATCATTTCTTCCAAATTTTGGAACTCATATCAACCCTGCTTTGCTCATCAAACAGACCCTTATATAGTAGCATTGCCTGTTATCAGTTTTTGTTTTGTTTTATAATTGTATAGATTCTAGGACTAAAGTTATATAATGAACCAACAAAGAGAGTCACCGCCAATAAAAAAACAAAAACCCCGCCTTTTTTAATCTCGTAATACAGCGTATTGTTGTTAGTTTACAAATAACAGAAAATATGAAACTGAATATGATACCAAACAGTGCCCCCTAGTTTTACTAACACCTGGAAGTTTTCTATTGATTTAAAAAAACCATGTTTGGAATGATGTGTTCTAATAAAAAGAAAAACTAATTTTCATCAAATTTCAGATGGTTTTGAGAAGTAAATATATGTGGTTTATGATTGCATTTCACCTACTTATTCTTTTTTCAGCTAATTCTGCACCTAACTTACCTAGTAAAAAGCTTATTTTTCGTTACACCAAACAAATTTAATTACTTCCAAACCACTTTTGAAAAAAAATTTACCCAAACAACAAAGACTAATTTTGATGATAATCGAATATAATCTAATTCCCAAACGCACTATTATTGTATTATTGTAAAGAAGTGGGGGTGGTCAAGCGGTTGGAAAACCAAAATATCTTTCATGTCACCGAATACGGATCCCTCCTCCCCCTCCCCAAATATCCTGAGGATCGATCCAAAGAAGAAAAATAAGAATATGATTTTCAACAATTAGGTTACACCTTATATTAGTACGAAAAAATAAGGTGGCAAAGTAGTGCATAGAATTATTGATGAAGCTACAACAGAAAGCTCATTATACATCAAACCTTACCTGAAGAGTTCATCTGTAATGAGAAGTGTTTGGATAGCCATTCGCTCATGAGCAACTTCAACATGTTTTGGTCCGTAGCAAGCACGCTCCGGCTCCTGTCATAAATAATAAAAATAATTAAATACATCAAGATTGTAAATCACAAACATCACTTGAATAGTATTGTAAAAGAGCTCATATAGACCAAGGGTGAAACCTAACATTTGAAAGCATGTTGAAGAAATCCTTGAGGGATTGTACCTAAGTGGGAGGAAGTTAGTTTCAACAATTCCAAAAGAATAATTCAAATGATAAACATGATTTAAAAATTAAAATACATTAATAAAAAAATGGGAAATTAAAAGACGGGGTAAACAATGTGCAAAAGACTACCTCTTTTGCAGCTTTGGTATCTTTAACCATATTCATTACATTAGGGGCATCCAGAACTTCTCTCAAACTATGCCTGTGAATGTAGATTCTATGTTAAAAAAAGAATACTAAATAATAAAAAATGTATTGCACAACCATAGTTTGATAAAAAGAAATTAAACACTAGATCAAACAAATGGACCTAGTTTAAGAAGTTGATGGCTCATAGACATTTTTAACAAAGTACGCAAGTAAAAAGTACAGGGTGGCAAATAAAATGCCAAACGATTGGGGGGGAAAGCAGATTGGAACAAAGCTTATGAGGCATACCATGAAGTTACAAGAGAGGGTGTATAGAACAAGGTTGGGGAAATGTATTGATATGTCAGAGAACCAGTTCGCAATTATCTCTGAATGATCAACAACATAGGTGATCCATCTTTTAATACAATTCATGGAATATTATAGGTCAGGGACAAATATTTATACTACATTCTCATGCTTTCTTATCAACTTTCAGTAAAACCTCAAATTTATGGAATGAGATAAAATAACAAAAAAAGATCCTTGAAATTAGCTTTTGCTTCATTGATGGCAAATTGGCAACAATGCTAACGTGCTCTTTGGAGGGTATTTTTGATGATTCAAACAATAATTAGTTTACTAAACACGGTAAGTGGACATGTAATTTCAGATGCACCGAAAAGGAAATTTGGACAGCAAAATTTAGACAAAGGGAGTATACATTTTATATTGCTTTATAGAAATTAACCGCTTATTGGGTGTTGAGGGCTCTCTTGGCCAAGGCAAATCTATTCACAAAGCCTCTTTAACAAAAGAAGGCAGACACATGCATTTTTGTAAGCCTTTAGCCTACCTGCCTACTTGGGCAATATTGTTAAACATATTTAGGGGTAATATTGTTAAACAAATTAAAACATAATGTTATAATTTTCCATATATCTCAATCTAAAATCCTAAATCACTTTCACTTCTCTCCTCTCACTTGACCGCATGGACCTTCTTAAACATCAAATCAAGTGTGGATTTGACGAGGAGGGGTAATGGTAGACCTAAGAAGACTTGGAGCAAGGTGGATAGACATGACTTACGGATTCATGAGCTAACCAAAGATATGGCCTTATAGATAGAAGTTTCTGGAGGGAAAGGATTATGGCAGGTTTTCAGTAGTGTTATGCCCTCATGTAGAACATGTTGTCTTATACTGTTGTATCTATGTGTGTGTTTGCTTTTCTTGGGCCCCTCAGCTTTGTCTTCTTTATTTTACCTTCTTTTTTGTTTTCGTTAACCTTTTCCACGATCCTTCTGTTTTGAATCGGGGCCTCTTGGAAAAAGTGTCTCTACTTCCCAAGTAGTTCCCCAGTAGGGGCAAGAGCAAGAGCAAGATCTGTGTACACTCACCCTCCCCAAACCCCACACTATGTAAGTTTTTACTAAGTTTGTTGTTGTCGTTGACTTGTTGTTCCTCTTGTCAACGAAGTGAGTGATTTTTTATGGATAAGAGGACATGAATGTATTGAGAAAGATGTGACACACAGGATCAATGCTTACTGAGTCAAAATGAAAGGAGCAACGTGAGTACTTTGTGATAGAAATGTACTGTAGGTCTAGGATTTAAGGGACAATTTATTGCAGCTATAAGACTGTCTTTATTAAATGGATCTAAATGTCGGGCAATGTAGAGAAACTTGATTATAAGATGAGTGATGCAGAGATGCATATGTTAGGGTGGATGTGTGGTAAGACTAGAAAATGCATGCCAAGGAAATAAACTAGAAGTTGGGTGTAGCCGCTATTAAAAAATAAAGTAATGAGCGAACTGGCTGGGTTGGTTCTGGCATGTCAGTCGTCAAGAAGTGCCACAGTACAACAGTGGAGTATTGAGGTGTGAGAGACTTAAAGAGAAGTTGGATTGACCGAAAACTGCTTGGATCGAGGCTGTAAAGAGTGACACCACTGCATCGAGGGTAAGTGAGCATATGGTACATCATACATGACAAAAAGGAAATGAAAAAAAGGCTCTCACTATCTCAGACACAGTATATAACCTCGGGACATTCTATTGCCTTGTGTAGTCGACCTCATTATATTGGGATCAAGGCTTGGTTCTTGTTGCGGGTGGGGGGGTCTCTCTTGGAAACAGCCTTCCTACTTTAGAGTATGGGTAAGGTATGTGTACACACTCCCCCCCCCCAAAGACCCTACTCTCGTGGGTTCCAACTGGATTGTTTTTTTTTTTTGTGCTTAGTTCTTGTTGTTGCATTCTAAGAATAACATATATTTGGAATAATAAAAATGTATATCGTTTATCCACTCTCCTTAAGGACTTGAGTTTTTAATTGCAGTAAAACATTCAACAAAGAGTACCGACGAAGCAATACACGCACATAGACATTCATATCCTGAACTAACTAAGGCTGAACTTGCCTATAAATTGCTACAGGGGAACATAATATTAAATGCAGACGTGTCAAGTCCAGAGCAAACACACGAATACATAAATGACTAAAAAAGTTCACAGGAAACAACATCGGTCCATCAACGACTTGATCTTTCCAATGTTAATATTGTATAGTATGATATACTAGTGACTTGTATAAACAAAAATCCAGTTTCCTAATATGAAAATGTGTTAGAGATCATACTTATAGCCTGAGGTGGTATGTGCAAGAACTATCCGTGATTTGTTCTCAATTATAGGTCTCAACTGCTTCCTCTCTGCTTCCAACAGCAAATGACGGTGAAATTGATCCTGAATATTACACAAAATTTTGTATAGAATGTTACAGGGATACACGCTAAATCATCATTCATACCATAGTTAACTTACTAAGCTTATATTGATCAATCCAATAAAATATATACTACTCCCTCCGTCCACCTTTTGTTGTCCACTTTTTCCGTTTTGGTGTCCAGAATTAATTGTATGCTTTCCATATTTCATTAAAAAAAATTGTGAATGATAAAAAATGCCCCAAAAGAGCATTTTTACATTGTTGACATCAATGAAGGGCAAGCTAATTTCAAGGGTTTTGTTATTTTACCCTCATCCCTAAAAT